ATAAATTAAATCATTGAGGATTGAAAATTATTTTTATCAGTAATTTTGAAGTCTGTCAAGGGAGGAACTGAAAGTTTTAATATATTTAATTGTAAATTTCATCTTCTTTTGATTTTCTTTGATATTTCTTTAAATATTTTCTTTTATTCTTCTTTATTCTGTTCCTATTTTCTTTTATTTTATAAAAACATCCTGTTTACTACAAGTCTAAATTGGCACAATTCTTATTTTGCTTTCCCAAAGCAGTAACAGTCTTATATTTAATATATATTGATTTTAATATTTATTTTTTTTTTATTACTTAAATAGTTATTTGTAAACAAGTTTGTATTAAACTTATTAGCCAATTGGTTATATGAAAGATATTGTTATTTTCTTTATATATAGAATATTTATATTTTTACAATTTAATAAAGTAATAATATTTATCTATATAAAAAAAAATAAAAATAAAAAAATTATTATTAATTATATAAAATTTAAATTTTTTGTTTAATAAATATATTTTCTGATCAAAAGTTTAGAACCACCCTAATGATTTATATAAATTTTGATTTTTATAGCCATATAACTTTCTATAAAAAAAAATAATATACTTTATGCCACCTATATTAATAGTCCTATATATATACATCATTTTTGCTCAATTATTTTATTGTTTTTTTTTTAATAATAAAAAAAAAGAGCTGATAGATTTTGAGTATGAAAAAATTATTACTTTTTATAAAGCTAATAACTCTAAAAGAGCAATTTAAAAAAAACTGAATATAATAAGACAACAATTCACAATATTATTATAAAATTTCATAAATTCAATATTATTTTTGTTGCCTTAAGAAGCAAATGCCTAAAAAAAATAATTCAATATAATAAAGACTATTTCAAAACAATAATAAAAAAAAACTATTACAAATCTATAAAATAAATACACAAAATTTTCTTAAATTGTCTGAAAATAATGTAAGATAAAGAACTATTAGATATACTTTGTATAAAATAAAGTATTATAGTTAAATAGTTCTTAGAAAGCTTTTTGTTAATAAGATTAATTGAAAAAATTAATTGGATTAAGTGTATAAAAAATGTTTGTAAAAAATAAATAACTGAAAAAAAATAGTATAAAATAATAAATCAAGATTTATATTATTTAGAAGTAATAGAAAAATTTATATATAAAGGTTTTCTAAAGAAAAATATAATTTTAATTGTTTGATTCCTATGGTAAAATATAGTGGCAAGAGAATTATATTATGAAAATATTTTTCTTAATTTGGATTAGATCTTTTAATTAGAATAATGGTTATGTTAATAGTCAAAGATATATAGAAAAGATTATTGACTATTATCTAATATCTTTTTTAGAAGAGTTTGAGAAAAGCAATGAGAAATATTTTTTTTAACAAGATAATACTAAAATTTATATCAATATATAAACTCAGAATTTCATAAAATAAGTAATAATATTTCTCTTACTGTAGCCAGAACAAAGTCTAAACTTAAATTTGATTAAGCACTTATAAAATAAACTCAAATAATGTATAAGGATAAAAAATATTTTTTCAAAAAATTTAGATGAATTGGAAATTTTTTTACAAGAATATTGGTTGCAGATTTCAAGTAAAGTTTTTTAGAATTTAATAATTAGTATAGAAAATCAAATAAAAACTGTAATAAAAGCATATGGCTACCTTACTAAATATTAATAAAAGTTTATTAAAAAAAAAATTATTATTTTTTTATAATTATTTTAATAAATTTTTAATTTAAAATTAATTTAATTAATCTATTTATTTATTTATTTATTTAATAATACTTAAATATTAAAATAATTTAAAAATTATATTTTTTATCTATTAATTAAATATATAATTACTTGTATTTTAATTTTTTAAAAAAAATATTATTATATTATACTATTAATAATAAATTAATTACAATTATTTAAATTTTATTAAGTGGTTCTAAACTTTTGGCCAGAGAGTGTATATTTAATGGTTTATTTGAAGATAACTTTTAAAATTGATAATTGATACAGTTAAACTGTAAGTATATTTACAAGATTTAATTTTATCTTTTGAGTTTACAATTATTTAATTACAAATTACTTTATTTGTAAATTAATTTTTGTATATAAAATTTCAAATCTAATTATCTGTTTAAATATTAGATTTTTTAAGATTGAATTTTTAGTAAATGGGTAATTATTTTTGAAGGTGACAAAAATGCTAGATATGAATTTTTTGGATTCAACTTTTAAACAATACATATATAATATAAATTTTAGGATCACCCCAGAAAATTTCAGGTCCACCTTCAAAAATAATTATCCAAATATTGATAATTGATTTTTCAAACTTAATAAAAACAAAGTAAATTAATGGTAAATTTTATTATATATAATTTTATTTTATATTTTAATAATATTTGAAATTATTTTTATTAAGTAAATTACAAATTACTAGTAAAAATACAAATCTTTCTTATGATTTGTGTCAAAGAATTCAATGAGTGCAAATTTCGTCAGGTTCACATACATTACACCTCACGCGCTGCGCCACACGAATCTTAAGTGGATCTCCACCCCATTCTTCAAACAAGACTACAATATTTTTACGATCTTCTCCGTAGCGCTTCGTCCATTCAAGTGGAATATGATAATACCGTTGTGACGGAATATCATATCCTACTCTGCATTTGATGTATGGATTGTACCAGCCCGCATAATCTTGATCCTCCCGTGCGCGCGGGTCTGTAGGATGCGTGGCAAGCTCTAGCCAGTACCTCCCAAGATGTCGCCCATTAACCCACACATTAC